GGATTTTTGCATCTAAGTTTATGGGAAATAATAGTCTGAAGTTTTTTTTTTATTAAGTTGGGAAGTGTTCCCTCTTCTTTCTTGAAAGATTTGTATAAAATCGATGTTAAGTGTTTAAATATTTGAAAAAACATTGTTCAGTGAAAGCATCTAGGCTTGGAGAGCTCTTTTTCAAAAACTTTTTAGTTAAAATTTTGATTTATTTAATAATTACAGAACTGTTCAGTTTATCTGTTGAGTTTTTGTGGTTTATAGTTTTCAAGGAACTGGTCCATGTCTTCTAAGTGGTTGAATTTATGAGCATTATGAACATTACTGAGCATTATGAACATTTGTGAGTATTATAAAATTACTTTTAGCATTTTTTTTCTTTTTGTTGGTTGTGAGATCTGTACTGACATTCTCTATTTTGTTACTGATAGTGGCAATTTGTGCCTTTTTACTTGATATTTGTCAGTCTTAAGTAGAAGTCTATACCAAAAATAAAGCTTTGTTTCATTGCTTTTTTCCCCTCTGTTCTCTTTCTGATTTTCATTTTATTGATTTCAGTTCTTGTATTTGTTATTTCCTTTCTTCTGCTTGTATAGGTTTATCTTGCTCTTCTTTTTCTAGGTTCCTGAAGTAAAAACTTAGCTTTTTAATTTGAGATCTTTCCTCTTTACGAATCTAAGCATTTAGTGCTCTAAATTTCCCTCTCAGCATTGCATTAGCTGAAAATCCCAGAAATTTTAATATGCTGTATTTTCATGTATCTATGTATTTCTCTGTTTCCTTAGAGACTTCCCTGTTGTGACCCATTAGTTATTTAGAAGTATGTTGTTTAATTTGTAAATGCTTACAGGTTTTCCTATCTTTCTGTTACAGTCTTCTAATTTTATTCCATTATAGTCAGACATGTGCTATGTTTTATTTCAGTACTTTTAAATTTGTTGAGGTTTTTGTTCATTTTGTGTTTGTTCCTTTTGGTCCAGGATATAGTGTACTATAGAGAATGTTTCATAGGTTCTTGAAAAGAATTTATATTTTTGTTTCATAGGTGTAGAGTGTTCTATAAATATCAATTAGATCTTTTGATGGTGTTACTAGGTTCTTTTATATCTTTGCTGATTTTTTTTTTCTCTAGTACTTCTGTCATTTGCTAAAACTGAAGTATTGGAATCCTCAGCTGTGTTTGTGGGTTTGTCTCTCCTTTTAGCTTTATTGTTTCTAGTTTCATGTGTTTTTGTTTCTAGTTTTATGTGTTCATGTGTTCATACTTGTTTAGTATGTACACATTTAGGATCACTGTTTTCTTGATGGATTGATCATTTTATCATTATATAATATCTCTCTGTGTCCCTCATAAATTTTTACTCTTAAGTCTGTTTTATCCAATATGAATCCAACATGAATATAGTCACTCCTGTCTTTTTTTTTTTAATGTTTGCATGATATATCTTTTTTCTATTCTTTTTTTAACCTACCTCTTTCATTTGAAGTGAGTTTCTTGTAGACCTGTTTCTAGCTGGTAAATTTAGACCATTCGTGTTTAAGTAATTATTGGTATGTCAGTGCTCAGAGCCTAGATTATTTTTGACTCATAGGATTCTTCTTCCATCCTTAACCATTCATCAATAACCACAAAACACAAGTCAGATGAACTTTTTCTTTCTTTCTTTCTTTCTGTCTGTCTGTCTTCTTCATGGCATGGTGACTGGATCCAAGAGAAGTGTTTCCCAAAGTGTTCATTTCAAGAGATCCATGTAGAAGCTATAGGGCTTCTTAAGACGCAGCTCCAGGTCTTCAGTTTCAGAATGCTCCTTCTGCCACATCCTGTTGGTTTCACAGTGCCAGACCAAATTCATTGTGGGAGGTACCTGCTCACGAGCAGGAAAACAAGGAGGTGACGCCATGGGCTCTGTCTTGGCTGCTGACTGCCGGTGCTACTAATGCACATGCTAGAGCTGAAATCAGGGGCTGTAACGCACAGCTGGTTAACCAGCTAATCACACTCGGACTCAGCTTTATCACTTGTAAACTGAGGACACTGGACTGGATGACATACCAGATGTGGTTATGTCCTTTCTAACTCTATGATTCTGTTTCTTAGATATCTTTTTCCTCCAGCTTTATTGAGGTAAAATTAAAACTGTATATATTTAAGGTGGGTAGCTTGATGGTTTGATGTACATATACCTTGTGAAATATCCACCATATTCATGCTACTTAACGTATCCATCACCTCATATAGTTAGTTTTTTTCTTCATCAGATAGATTTCTTGTTTATTATCACATTACCATTTAACACCATATAAAAGAAGAGACTTAACCATCATTCCAGTAATCTCTGAACTACTCTTAGAGCTCAGTTTGACAAACTAATGCATTTACCATTGGTTCTAGAAGCAGCCAGTATCTAACATTAGACGATCTATAGATTATTATAGGTATAACCAGCCCTGCGGAATGATCTGGATCACTAAGGGAGCTAGAAACCATTGGCTAGGTTATTTCATACACACTCTTCTTTTTGAAGAGTTAAAAATCTGCTAGTAGGTTTTTCCTTTTCAATGTATATATGTTTGATTCTGAAAGAAGCTGATCATATTTTAGTTCAGTGGCTTATTCACTGTTGCAATGAGTCTTGCTACGCTTTCCCCAGGATCCTTAGTTAACCTCAGTCTTGTCATCATCAGCACTAAAATAAATTGCCAGTTTATCCAGATATTTTAAACAGAGGCACCATTCATTTGAATGACTACTTCCACGAAGAACACTTTGAATGATAATACTTTTTTCATTTATTCAGGTGTTTTGAGGGGTGTCTTTACTGTATAATCATACCTTATATACTGTCTTTTAAAATTATTCCTGACAATTGTAATCCAGTGTCAGAGGTAAAGTATATGATTTGTGGCCTTGATAAAGATGTGGATTATGGATCCCAAACCATATTTATCACTGTACTGTATGAAGTACAGTGAAGCAGTGTTAAGTGTTTATTTTCATGTTTATTCTCCCACATGGATTGGAGGATGAGACTTTCTCTTTCGCATTTATATCCCTTGTACCTGACATCCTGCAACTATATAGTAAGCTTATTATATGAAATGAGGCTGATAGATGGGAGAGACTGAGCTTTGGCCCTTCTTAAGTCAGAATCCTATTTGATTAATTGAGGGATATAGAAAAGAAATGAATAGAAGGTACTTTGGACAGCATTGTTTAAAGTTCATTTCAGTGACAATACTAAAGCTTGCCAAACAAATTTTACAAGTATACATTTTGGCTTATCATGTGTTTGACCCAATTCTTTATATTTATTTCATCTTGTTTAATTCCTATAAACTAGTGGGGGGGGGGGTCCATAGGGGAGGAAATATGAATTCCTTACCCAATTAAATGTCCCTGTCACTGTCTTTTCACATGTATTCAGACTAACCAGACACACAAAAATAAGTTGTTAGTGGCTTAGTCGTGTCCAACTCTTTGCCAACCCAATGGGCCAGACTCCTCTGTTCATGGAATTCTCCAGGCAAGAATACTGGAGTAGGTAGCCATTTCCTTCTCCAGGGTGTCTTCCCAACTTAGGGTCGAATCCAGGTCCCCTGCATTGTAGGCAGATTATTTACCATTTGAGCCAGCAGGGAAGTCCTTAAAAATAGATTAATGGTGATGATTGAATTGCTATGGCATGGTATGAATAGCTGTAAAATAAAGTCATGATCCTATATTTCAACATGTGCCTTATTAGGAAAAGAACTACAAGTTCAGCAAGAGATTTCACCTAAGAAAAGAGATGTGGATAGAGAGCATTGTTGTATATTATAATTTTTATTTTTATTTATATTGTGAACAGTGATAAAACTTTTGGGAAAAGAAAGAAGGTAGTGGGATTCATTAAAGTTTCTGTTAGACTGTAATATGATTTATGGTTACCATTAAATTATGTCATTTGTTTTTAATGTGAGTTAGATAGTAAAGCTTCCAGGTTAAAGTTCAAGATTTTGTAGCCATTTAACCAAAGGTATTTGACCAAACATTACTTTTTGGAAATAAATGTTTCATTGATCTCTGTCTCTTTCTGAGACTAGTTTAAGGAGATAAAGCTTCATATTTCCTTGGAAAAAAGACTTATTTGAGGTTCAACATCTAACACTAATATATTTACCCTCTTACTGATTGGGTTTCCCATTCATCCATTTGATTTTTTTTTTTTCTTCTTTTTATGATTTGATACATTATAGTCCAGCTTCAAATGGTGAATTTTAAGTCGAGAAGTATCCTCCAAAATAAAGATTCCTGTGTTTAATTCTGTAGTGTCTGTCTTCGGGAGAAATAGACAGAAGTAGAAGTTCAGATTCAGAGGGGCGCCTGGTTGGTAATTTGGATCAAACTGCATGGGGAGAATAATCTCTCCCCTAAAATGAAGCACAGGGATAAGTAATAACTTTTTATGCATGATAAGCATCAGAAATATGAACCTGCTGGTCTTTGCTTTTCATTTTTCCTCACCTCTGTCTTTCAGTGAGAACCTCCTGCAGTGTGCACATGATGTGATCAATAACTCAATAACTTTTTTCATGCAGTAATTATCTCCATGTGATATTATCTGAGCACTGTTTTTCTTTATTACTCAAAAGATGCAGGAGATATTTATATAACCAGCTGATCCCATTTTGGATAACGGTGCTTTGTGACAGCAGGAGAAACAGTTTATTTTAAATAACCTTTTTAAATAAATGCTCTATGAAAAGCTTTCAGAGTTAATTTTTACTTAGCATGGGAAGGTGATTACCAAAAAGGTTTAGATCGAAGACTTGTACTTTGTATATTTTACAGTTTGATAATCATTCTTTCTAACTTCTAATAAACACAATTAAAATGAAAATATTGAACCATTTAACAGAGCCATAATTTTTTTCTGATTCCTCTAAATCATTTTATATATTTTCACAGGTGTGAGCTAAATGTGTAAGTTCTGTCACCTCTGCGTGTCTCACAGGTCATCTCGTTACAGGCCGAGATCCTGCAGGAGTCCCGGATGATGATTCCAGACTGCCGACGCAGGTTGGAAGCTGCACATGCTGACCTTCTGCAGTTATTAGTAAGTGCTGCTTATCTGTCTTAGGTTTCAGTGTTTCTTCAGTCTTAATACATCAAAGGCTAAAATTTTAAATCTCTGACACTGAAAACTAGTTGGTGACATTTGTTTACTTGCTCAGTGTACCAGTTTATTTTTAAATAATTAATGGAGTTTAAGTGGTGTTTAAGTTATGCCTCCAGTAAAAGTACTGTGTCAGCATATTCACTCTATTCACTTAAACTGAGTTGAAATATATTTGAGTTATCATGGTAGGTATTCATAGTACTAATATTGTCCAGCAGTATCTTGAATGATTCGATTTTCACACATAAAGATCTTTTTTAATACATTAAATGTGAGTAAGTATTCTGTTTGATGTTTTAAAAGATCCAGATGTTTCAAATGAATTTAGGCTGTTTTACAAAGGATTTGGAATTTTTCCCAATTCAAACCTAAAACAATTTGAGAGAGGAAAGAAAACCCTGTACAGTAATATAGAGGCAGTCCTTTCATATTCACTTGGAGCTGGTAACACTCTTTATCATACTTGCTAGTATAAATGTCTTGTGATACAGTGGCAGGATCATTTTAAAAAGGGATTCTAAGAACAATGAGAGGTTATCTTCTTTCTTTTTTTTATTTCTTAAAAAAAATAAAAGCAGAATACTGTATACTAGCCAGTTATTACTGCTATTTGATGATAATTTGATGAATTCTGTCATTTCCTTTATTAACCTTTAGTTTCTAGTTCTTGAGCTAATATTAATTACCAGCTACATAGCTGTCTCCTGTTCATAGTTCTTTCCTATATATCAAACATAGTGAGGCTTTTTCAGGTTGATCATATGTATATATTCTTGGAAAGAGAATGAGATTTGTTTTCCCACCAAAATAACATCAGGACTTAAGTCTGTAGAAAAAACGAAACAGAGAAATACTCACATTTTACTTTATTTTTGAAACAGAACTCGTATTTATCTGTAGGAACCTTTTCAAGGCAGGATAACTCTTTAAAGCCAAAATGAAGCTAAGTTTTTAAAATAAAAGAGATGAAATAAAAGATAAATGAAAGCAGGAAATAATACTCTATTAAAATGTTACCCGGAACAGAAGCATCATTTGTATTTCCTGACAATTGAAATGCTTTTTTCTCTCATGAATGTAGTAACCAAGAAAGTAATAAAAACTGTTTAAAAAATAATATTGTCTTTGGATGATGTATTTGTGTGTGAGGATATATTCAGCAATGCCTGTACCCTTGAAGAGCTCATATGTTCTAACAGAGAACAAAGGTGTGTTCAAGTATAACAGAGAAGTTTAAGAAATTCTTACCTGTAGTCTGAATTAAGCAAATCCTCAGTCTTTTTTCCTTTAAAATTTCATATTAAATACATGTACACACACTTTATTTCCTCTTCCCTCTAGCTGTTTGTATATATTCATCTTTTATTGCCTGACCTGAATTGCTGACCATAGCTTTGTTTACTAAAAAATCAAACAAAATTTCCTATGCTCTGTGCTCAGTAACTTACATTATTTCATTTATCTGTTACTATTAAATAATAGTTTTGTGTATGATATACCAAGGAAGAACTCAGTCTTTAAATGTCAGAAAATGAAAGCTGTTGTTTCCTTGTAGTAGGGTATATAATACTCATCAACAAGAAGACAGTTCACTGTTCTGATTCAAAGACTGTACTTAACTCTACTGTGACACCTGTAGCCTTCTTTGTCATTGTGAGCAGCTATAGGATTATTTTAGTCTGAGTGTCATCATATATGTAATGCATTAGCAAATAATTTTTTATTGTTAGTGCATTAATAATAATCCCATTTTATTGTGTTAATAAAGTGAGAATACAATGTTTTAATTTTTTTCCTGAGATTTTAATTACTTAATGTAAGTGGCTTTAGATGACCATATTTTTTTCTTATTATATAAGAATATATGATATTGTATATCATATATAAGAATATATAAAAAAATTTTGTTTTAATTTTTGAGCTGCTTATCTTGATAGTTTGTAATATCTGAATAATAAGTACTGAAGTTCAAGGAGAATAAACCTAATTTTTATTACATTTATTTTCAGGAGAGTGAAAAAGACTTGGAAGAAGCTGAGGAATATAAGGAGGCACGTTTAGTACTGGATTCAGTGAAGTTAGAAGCCTGAAGTTTTCTGTACAGGGTATTTTTTGCATTAAATCCTGGGATCCATTCCACAATTCATTATTTTTGACCACTGCTATGTGTTCAAGTAGTATGAGAATGTGATTCTTTTTATGCAGTGCATATATTTTTCTTTGCCTAATTTAATGTGTCAAATAAATGAGTTCATCTAATAAAATTGCTTCTTTCATACTTTACAGAGTATTTTAATTAACCTTTTAGCATTAAGTCATAGCCATTTTTACAGAGAATTAAAATCTGTTAGGTTCTATTTAAAGTCTAGATGTTTTGCTGCTTAAGCGTGAATTAAATTAAAAACAAGATGATTTTTTTTCTAAGATAGATATCCAAATTTTGAGTATTTTATTCTGAGTAGCATACAACTCCCGGATAAGAAAGTAAGAACCCAGGACTTCCCTGGCAGTCCAGTGGTTCAGACTCCATGCTCCCCAAGCAAGGGGTGAGGGTTTGATTCACAGTTGGGAAACTAAGATCATCCCCCATACCACGTGGCATGGCCAAAAGATTTTTAAAAAAGGAAAAGTAAGAACTTCTCTATGGATGCAGCCTCACATATTTATTTCTTCACAGTCAAAGTCTGACATTTCCATTACTAATGGGAAACATTTAAATCTTTTTCCAGAAGGATTTATACGGAAAACACCCAACCATTTAGATCTTTAAGAATAAAATTCTTATGAATAATAAAGAATTGAATTGTGTTTTAAAGGAATAATAAATGTTGCCAGTACTGGGAAATAAATAAATGAATGTTGTACAGTGCTGGGAAATAAATGTTAAATGGAAAGGGAACCTCTGATTTATAGCTTTTGCTCTTTTCTGTAGTGTAAATACTTCCACTGTGACCAGTTTCAAGTGGCTAATGTGACATTACCGAACAGAACTGGGAAGGTTCAAGCTAGCTACAGCATGCACTGACCCAGCCAAACCTGAATTACCTTGATTGACTAGAAAAGGGTATTGTTGCATCACAAAGCTTTTTCCCAGTGCTATTGTAAACCTGTAACTTAATCTTTTGAGCTTATTTTTTAAGAATATATAACACTTGTTTTATTATATTTCTAGAAAATATGTATGAGCCTTATGTCACCAACCTAACATGAACCATGATCTAATGAACCAAAATAGTAATAATAACATTTATACTTTAAAACTCATAATTGAAAAAATAAGAAAATGAATTTTTGCTGCTATAAAATACATACTTGTAATATGGTTGATCAAATTTTGGAAGTTGCAGATGATAACTAGAAACTAACATTTATTGAATCTGAAAAAAATCAGAGAAGAGAAAAATAATACTATTCTTTAATATTATTTCTAAAGCCTACTCTGTTTAAAAGCATGGAATGTATCATTTATAAAATAAAACTTTCACTCATTTAGAAAATTACTTCATCAGAGAATAGCATATATCTGAAGCATTTCTAAATTGAAATGTCATCATTTTAATACATATTACATGCCATTTTTAAGTATTTGAGGTAGAAGAGGGGAAGAGTGAGGAAATAAGAACTATAATTACAATGTAAAATTTTATACTAAGATTCAGTATTAGAGATTTGAGGATCAGGAGAACTGAACTCTTTAGATTATCTTGTGGTTTGGTGTTAAGAACAGGTGGAGGTTTTTTGGTTTCAGGCTTGTTTTTTTGTTTTTGGCATATTGAGTTTTTAAATTCGTAAAACGTTATGAGAATTTTTGACATGTTCCAGTTGTTCTTGTGGCCAAGAGGCACATTAAGAGCAATTATAATCGATTAAGCATTAACTTGTTTTTAAGCTTTTATTTAAAACCTTCTATTTGTGTAGTAATAAGTAGTAATTTCCTAAACTAAGACCTCCAATTAACATAGCAGCTGCTCAATAAACATTTGTAGAAAAAGTGCAAAGCAAGAACATGTCTAGCATTGGGTCTCCTGTATTGCAAACAGATTCTTTACCACCTGAGCCACAAAGGAAGCCTGTCTAACATGTAGAATGAGACACAGAGAATGCTCTGAAGGATTATATCTCGTCATAGACAAAACACATTTAATAGAATGCTTTTCAAACTGTTGTGACCACAAAGCACAGTAAGAAGCACATTATTTTATACAGATGCATATACAATGTATAGATATATAAACTTCTTTGATATATATCTTTATCAGCTTCTTAGATCTCAAAGCAGTTGTCTCAGTGAATGTATGCTACAGATTTACAAGTTACAGGCATAAAGTGTCATGGTAATATGTAATCACTTAACATTTGTTGAATGCCCTTGTCCTTGCACAGACCAATACAATGGCATTCATAGATTAGACAGGCAAAACAAAGACAAGTGGCAAAATCAAGTAAATAAACCTAATTTTTCCATGCTTTTCTGTACGGCAAAGGTCACATCATTTCTAAGTAAGTAAGAATGTACATAGGATAAATAAATAGACACGTAACATACAAAATGAGTCAAGTGACCAAATCCGGGCTGGTCTTAATGCCATTGAGATTATTCTCAAATTTCAGCGTTTTCACTTGGACGTTCTTGGCTATCTCCCAAAGTTCTGGGCAGGAACTTCCTGTCTGGGCTTTTGGGACATATACATTTTGGATGAATACTAAACATGTTAAGAAGTAGTTGTCCTTCATTTATCCTATTTTGTGCCTTCTGGGTAAGTCATGTAAACAGCTCCTTGGGAAGGAATGGAACTTGTGGGGAGGATTCTTTTTTTTTTTAACTGCTAAAATAAGCACGTGTTTATGAGTAATGAAACCTGGTTGAAGTAATATATTGTAATGTTCGTTTCACTTTTCTTGAATTTCTGGTGAGGAACAATCAAAGCCTAATATTTAAAAATTGTCTCTATGCCTCTACCTGTGCACTGAATCACTTCCAAATTGAGCAGTCAAACCTGGTTAATCTAAATTACTTTGCAAACTTCATTACATTACTTGGCTTTTAAAAAATCCTATCAAATTTAATAAGGACATATCTTACAGCTGGTTATCACTTAAATCTTATTATTTGGTCATTTAGATAAACCAAGGACAGATTAATACTTTCTTTGACGGTGAGTTTAGGGCCTTTAAATGTCAGTGTAAACTTGATAGTATGTGAATAAGAGCTGTGAAGTAAGTATTTGGCATTAAAGGGTTAATCAGGTAATTTAGTCCTTGAGACTGTTTTGAGTGCTTTAGCTGGAAAGAAATTGAATGGTTTAGAAATGGTGCACTCTGAAACAAGTATTAGCGCACTTGAAATTTTCAAGCGTGCTTCATAAAAATCTACATTGCACTCCACTATTCGTTCTTACTGCTCTTATGAGAGGTATTTGTTCATGTATTAGATGGTTGCACAGAAAGGTATGATTAATTTATTATGTTACAGTAGATCTACACCTTTCTTTCATTTTTTGTGCTTTCTTTTGACAGCTGGATAGTTGACAAGGTGATTCAAAGTCTTGAGGGCAATATATGTCACCAAAGGTTAATATTTTTGTTTTTAATTTTTTGGATGCACCATGCGACATGTGGGAGCTTACTTCCTCAACCAGGAATTGAACCCACGCCCCCTGCATTGGAAGCAAGGAGTCTTAACCACGGGACCAGCAGAGAAGTCCCAAAAGGTTAATATTTTTAAAACACAAAAGACTTTTCAAATTAATAAGAAAAAATTTGTAGTGTAAAAGATAAAGGATGAAAACAGTTCATAAAATAATAAATGCAAATGAATAGGTTTTTTAAAAATGTTTCGCTTCAGTAGTAGTCAAGTTCATATTTTAAATACAATGAAGCAAAAATTTTACAGATGAAAATACCTGTTGACCAGGTATGATAAAGTACTAGCCAATGAGTTTAGCATAAAGGTTGAAGTAAACAAATGGGAAAAGAGCATCACTTACATGATACACAGTTGACATGTACCAGGAAACACAGGAGCATCATCTGTAAAATAATTGAAACAATGGGGAAATTAAAGTAGGTAGCTACAAAATGAATATATAAAGTTGTTAGGGATTGAATTATGTGCTTCAAAAAAATAGGTTGAAATCCTGACCCCCAGGACCTCAGAATATGACCTCATTTGGAAAGAGGGCCCTTGCATATTTCATCCGTTCAGATGAGGTCACGCTGAAGAACAGGGTAGGCCTTAATCTATTCTGACTGATGTCCTAATGAGACAGTGTGAAGACACAGTGAGAAGGCCTCAGGGCGGCACAGGCAGAGGGTGGAGTTACACTGCTACAAGCCAAGGAATAGTAAGGTGACACCAGACTTGTGAGAAAGGCATGGAATAGATTCTCCCTTAGGCCCTTGGAGAGTGTGTGGCTCTGCCAACAGCTTGATTCAGGCTTCTAGCCTCCAGAACTGTAAGACAATAAAGTTTGGTTGTTTTAAGCCACTGTACTTTGTTCCAATAGTCATAGAAATGAATACATAGAACCCAACAGCTTTTCTGTATGCCAACAATAACCAAACATAATGGAAAAATAAATCCCTAGGGAGAGTCAGAGTCTTAAGATGACATTTTAAAAAATGACTTGTACTGCATATGGAAAGTTGATATTGTTAAAACATGGTTTCTCCCTGTGTCCACTGCAAATTCAATGAAATAAAATACAACATGGTTTGGAGAGAGGAGTGGAGTGTTAGGAAATGATTCTAAAGTGCAATTTAAATTTTTTTAATATTTATTTTTTATATGTTTGGCTGTGTCGGGGCTTAGTTGAGGCATGTGAGATCTAGTTCTCTGACCAGGGATCGAACCCAGGCCCCCTGCATTGGGAGTATGGAGTCTTAGCCATTGGACCACCAGGTAAGTCCTAAAAAAATGTTTAACAGGAAAGAATATCTGAGAGGGGAATATGAAAAAGAATAGTGATGAGAAACTAGCTCTGCTCACTATCAAAAATTCATTGTGTGTGTGTGTATATATATATATATATGTATAAATTTAGTATATGATAAAGAGTATTTCAGACTTATCAGAAAGATAGATTATTCA